TTTTACTTGCCATGTGTGTGTCCTCTTAGGTGAAATGTCTGTTTATGGCTTTTGCTAATGAGATTTATTATTTTTAACTGTTAAGTTTTTAAAGTACTTTATATTTCTAGATGCAGATTGTTTGTGGAATATGTGGTTTGCAAATATTTTCTCCCACTCTTTAGTTTGACTTTTAATTCTCTTCACATAAACTTTTACTAAGCAAAAGTTTTTAATTTTGATGACCAATAATTTATCAACTTTTTTTTTTTATGGGATCATGCTTTACTGTCAAGTCTAAAAACTCTTTACTCTGAAATAGTTGGGTTTTTTTTACATGCACATTAATATTTATTCTGTGTCTTTCATGGTCTTCCCTTTATTACTAATGATGTTTTATATTCTCTCTCTCTGTTTTCTTGATAGTTCTTGCTAAATGTTTGCCTACTTCTTTTCACCCAATATTTACTTATTTTGTTACCACACATTTTTTTATTTTAGAATTTTGTCGTTTTATCATAAATCTCATCTTTCTACTTTTTCTAATATCTGCCTTTTTAATAAATACATTTACGAGTGTAAAATTTTCTGTAATATTACATTAGTTTCAATTGGTAAGTTTTAAAATATACTATATCTGTTCTTTACAAATGATTAATAGAGGAGATATTTACGGGTAAGGTACTAACTTACATAGCAACATGCTTTAGTTATGTGTTCACTATTTTGTGGGTTTTATTGCTAATTAAATTTATAATTAGCTTACAAACTCATTTATGATCAATTTATGATACTCTCTTTTGGCAGTAAATTAATTTTCAATTATGAAAGTAATTAAATTATTTTCAATTTAATGATAATTTACTAATATATTTTTACTACAAATCTGATCAAAATGCATTAATTCAAAACTTCTTAGCTATAGTTTTATTGTTGGATTTGCCAGTATGTTTATAACATTTTAAAATTGAATATTGAACTTATTTATTGGTTAATAAAATTATATAGGTCTCAAGTGTGCAATTCTATAATCCATCATGTGTGTATTGTATTGTGTGCTACCACCCAAAGCCAAGCCTCCTTCTGTCACCATATATTTGGCCCCCTTTATTCTTTTTTTTCCCCCCCTTTATTCTTTACTACCCTCACCTCCCTTCCCTCTGGTAACCACCATACTGTGGTCTGTGCCTATGAGGTTTTGTTTATTTTGTCTTTCTTGCTCATTTATTTGTTGCTTTCAGTTTTATAGAACACACTAGAGGCCCAGTGCATGAAATTCATGCACTGGAGGGGGGTGTCCCTCAGCCCAGCCTGCACCCTCTCCAACCTGAGACCTCTCGGGGCATGTCCTACTGCCGGTTTAGACCCGATCCCTGTCAGTCAGACATCCCTCTCACAATCTAGAACTGCTGGCTCCCAATCGCTCGCCTGCCTGATTGCCCCTAACTGCTTCTGCCTGCCAGCCTGATCACCCCCTAACCACTCCCCTGCCAGCCTGATCGACACCTAACTGCTCCCCTGCCAGTCTGGTCGCCCCCAACTTCCCTCCCCTGCCAGCTCAGACACCCCCAACTGCCCTCCCCTGCCAGCCATCTTGTGTGAGGGCATGGTGGTCAATTTGCATATTACTGCTTTATTGTATAGGATATGAATGAAATCACATGATTCTTGACATTTTCTGTCTGACTTATTTTGTTTAGCATGATATTCTCCAAATCCATTTATGTTCCCAAATGGCAATATTTTGTCCTTTCTTATGGCTGAGTAGTATTCCATTGTATATATGTAACACATATTCTTTATTCAGTCATCTTTCAAAGGACATTTCAGTTGTTTCCAAGTCTTAGCCATTGTGAATAATGCTGCAATGAACATAGGAGTGCATATATCTTTGCAAATAAATGTTTTCCATTATAGGGGGATAAACACCCAGGAGGGAGGTTGCTGGGTCATATAGTAATTGTATTCTTAATTTTCTTATGACACTTCTATATTGTTTCTCAGAGTGGCTGTACCAGTTTAAATTCCCACCAGTAGTGAATAAGGGTGCCTTTTTCTACACAACCTCTTCAACATTCGTTATCACGTGTCTTCTTTTTTTTTTTTTAAATATATTTTATTGATTTTCTACAGAGAGGAAGGGAGAGAGATAGTTAGAAACATCGATGAGAGAGAAACATTGATCAGCTGCCTCCTGCACATCTCCCACTGGGGATATGCCCGCAACCAAAGCACATGCCCCTGACCGGAATCGAACCTGGGACCCTTCAGTCCGCAGGCTGACGCTCTATCCACTGAGCCAAACCGGTTCTGGCATCACGTGTCTTCTTGATAACAGCTATTCTAACAGGTGTGAGGTGGTAGCTCATTGTAGCTTTAATTTTTATATTCCTAATAGCTAGTGAAGGTGAGCATCTTTTCATACATCTCTTGGTAATTTGTATGTCTTCTGGTCAGGTTCTCTGCCCATTTTTTAATTGGATAGTTTGTTTGGTTTGGTATTGAGTTCTATGAGTTCTTTATATATTTTGGACATTGATCACTTGTCAGAGGTATTGTTTTCAAATATCTTTTCCCATTTGGTTTGTTGCCTTTTGGTTTTGTTGACAGTTTCTTTTGCTGTGAAGAGCTTTTTAATTTGACATAGTCCCATTTATTTATTTTTGCTTTTATTTCTCTTTGCCTTTGAGGTCAGATTAATAAAATCCTCTTTAAGACCAAGGTCCAAAAGTTTAGTACCTATGTTTTTTCCTATGTAATTTATTGTTTCAGGTCTTATATTTAGACCTTTGATCCATTTTGAGTTTATTTTGTATCTGGTGACAGACAGCAGTCTAGTTTTATTCTTTTGCATGTGGCTTTCCAATTTTCCCAGCACCATTCATTGAAGAGGCTTCTCCCTCCCCACCCCCTTGTATCTTTCATCAAAAATTATTTTCCCATATACATGTGGGTGCATTTCTGGGCTTTCAATTCTCTTTTATTGGTCTGTGCATTTTTTATGCCAATACCATGCTATTTTGATTACGCAGGCTTGTAGTATGATTTGAAGTCTGGGAGTGTGATACCTCCAACTTTGTTCTTTTTCTCAGGACTGTTTTGGCTTTTTGGGTCTTTTGTAGTTCCATACAAATCTTGTGATTTTTTTTCGTCTGTTTCTTTAAAAATTTTGATGGGGATTGCATTAAATGGGTATATTGCTTTGGGTAATATGGCCATTTTTAACTATGTTGATTCTTCCAATCCACAAATATGGATTTATCAAAGGATGTGAAGGACCTATACACTAAAAACTATAAGACATTATTAACACATATTGAAGAAGACACAAAGAAATATTTGTAACATTTTTAATACTATCGTTTTATGATTATCACTTCTTTTACTTAAAAACCCACATTCCATACTGGGTAGAAGAATTTTCAGAAAATTGTTTAAGTAGACTAGTTAACTGCATCTTTCAACTCAGCTATATTCTTTATAATGTTAATCTGTCTTGATATCATCCCTGAGAGATGTGTAAGATGCTCCCAATGTGATTGTGGAATTGCTGGTTTGACCTGTAACAGCACCAATTATTCTGTTGGCTATTCCAGCTCCACGTGTGGTTTGGATGCAGGTTCATAAGTATTAGAGCTTCTTGTTGAAATGTTTCTCTTACTATCACATAACATGCAATTGTATTGCTATAGATGCTTTCAGCCCTCAATCCAACCATGTTCCCATGGCTATAAGAGCATTCTTTCAGTTGCCATTTGACTAGAAATATATGAAAAAGAATTGGCCCACAATAAGGGGCTTGTAATGCGAGTGATACATTTCTACACTTGACCATGGTATCTTGTTAAGTGGGTAGCAAATGTTCCAGATGATGAGAAGAGAGCGTCTGGGTGACTCAGGTGGGCATGCTGGACAGAGCAGGGACTGAGTCCCTCCGTTTTGGAGCTGTGCCTGTGTCCAAGGCTGTAAGACACCCTCTGGCTAGAGCCCATCTTGAAAGGAGACCCATGCTCTTACACTCTCCCTCTGCATTTCCTGCCCTGGCAACAAGTCAAGGTTATTTGTTCACCACACAGCTCCTGGAACTATACTTTGCTGCAAAGCCCATCGACCTGAACCTGGTTGAGTTTGCAATAATGCTCATACCATCATCCAGAGTTCTGTCACAGGCAGGTCCTATGACCAGCTGTGTTCAGCCAAAGGTACTTGGTACTGAATATGTGCATTGTTCCTGTTCATTAGTCCCTGCCTCTATCCCTGTCCCCTTGGCATTTGGGACTCTTAGGACTACCACTGTCTCTGCCAAACCTCTACATCCTGTCTACATCAGGTTTGAGGGGTGCTGGCTAGCTTCAACTGACTCTCACATCTCTTTGGCATGAGGCTGGTGTGCCAGTGCATCAGACTCAAAGCAACAAGAAAAACGAACCATGTCCAGCCTTCATCCCAAGGCCCCCAGGTGCCACACTCAGGCTGAGGATTCTCAGGCAGGTGCTGGTGCCCTTTCCCAGAATGTGGCTACAGGCTGCCTTCTTGCATCCACAAAGCTGGCTCTGGAAAACCCATCCTTTTTGGCTCCGCCCCTCCTTGTCTTGCTGACCTTCACTTTACTGCTGTGTCAGAGGATCACCTTCCATTTCTACCTCTTGCACGGGTGCCTTCATTATAGACTCTGGTTCTGGGGCATTCAAGTGAAGTCTTCCTTCCCCACTGAAGCTCCGAGGAAGTCCTATGGCTGAGATTCAGCTACAGGGGACCTTGTCTCCTATCTCTGATCCTTCCCAACCCACCCTGCCAGGGCCTTGTTCCTTTGTCCTGGACAGGAGACAATTTTAACTACTTTGGACAGAGGAGGCAGGGTCACATGTGGGAGGGGACAGGGTGTCACAGCAGAGAGGAGGCTCCCAGGAAGGATATGTCCTGGAGTAGATTAGGTGGACCACTGCCCAGGGAAGCTTGAGTGGAGTGTGAGCCAGAAGGGCTGTGGGTGGCTGGTTGCCTGCACCTCTGAGGTGTCTGCAATGGAGATGAGCTCTGCCTGGGCCATGTTCCTGCTTCTCGCAGGTTCCCAGGTCCGAGTGACTCACAGCTGGAATTTTAGAGATGAGGGAAAAGGCATCGAAAGTTATTTCCTTGCCACCGTGGAGTATGCCTTACACATATTCAACGTGAAGAGCAAGGACACGAATGCCTACAGGCTGGTGAGCATCCTGGACTCCCAGAGGGAGGAGGTAGGTGACTGCATCTTCCTGTCCTGATGGCCTTCACTTGTAGTAAGTCAGGGTACAAGACAGGGGCCTTAGCAAAGGATCTTGTATGCCATTTGAAGTTTATAAAATAAAATATACAAACTATTCATTTTCAGGTTTTATAAAAGCTTTTACGTGGAAATTTTAAAAATTAGATCAATGTCTACTCACATGCAATATTTTTTCAATCTTTATGTCATTGTTTAATGAAAAATGACATCAAAATGTAGTCTATGAGGGAAGAAAGATAAAGATGTCCAGACACACAGAGAAAATGCTTAAAAAGTTAGGGTGAGGAAAGAGTTCAAGGAAATAAAATAAAACAGGGCCTCTGCTGTGACTTCCATGAGCCCTGGGCTCCCTGCTGTGGCATCCACCTCTGTGGATGGATGTTATTTTCCCCTCTTCCCCAGACCATGGTTTTGAATCCTTAAAGGTTCTCCTTGTCATGGACTCTCTTTTAGAATGCAACCAGCGATGCCATTTTCATTTGGGCTGCAGACATGAACAATGAAAACACTCTCCCGAAGGAGCGCTTCTGGCTCTGTGTGTGAGTGTGTGTGTGTGTGTGTGTGTGTGTGTGTGTGTGTGAGTGTGTGTGTGTGTGTGTGTGTGTGTGTGTGTGTGTGTGTGGTGTCGGGGGCATTACTCTCTCACCCTCTGGACCTCTGCGCTGAGAATCCACATGAAGGGCAAAGGGTCCCCACCCTCCACTGACCTTAACCCTCTGGACACTGGCTTAGGCACCCTGGGCTCTCTCAGGCCGGACCTCTGGTGGGGATTTTTATATCCAGAGTCACAGACTGAGTTTGGGTGCCGGGGATAATGGATTGGATGCCGTGGGAGACGATGGAATAAAATGAGTAGAATGGAGTGGAGAAGAGTACAGACCATTTCACAGTGCACTTTGTCATAGAAGTTGTTTCTTGAAGCCATCGTCGTGTGTGTGTGTGTGTGTGTGTGTGTGTGTGTGTGTGTGTGGTTTCACTAGCATTGTATGGCATTTTTCTGATGTTGGGCAGGTGAAGGGTGTGACAATGGGGCTATAGATGAGTCTCCCACTCCGGGGTTGAGATGACCAAGCAAACTCTTGCAAGGCCAACACCCTCCCAGCCACTTGTCATCTGTCTCTGGGAATGCTGTGAAGCAGGAAGCATTGAAAAGAAAGGTGGGGTCTCACTTGGCATTTGCAAATGTGAGGCTGCAATGTGTGGTATTAATAGTGTGTGATCAGCTTGCTTTTAGCCCGGAGGCTCCGCCGGGCTCTGTGCCTCTTTGTCCAGAACACCTCAAGTGTAGATTTAACACAAGTGTGCTGATCCAGACCCAGAGGGAAGCCCCGAAGAGAGTAAGGTTTGGGCCTGTTCCTGCACTCCATGTGTCACCACCAGCAACTCCTTAATGGGACCATGAGGGATGTTTCCCCTGTAATGTCCATCTGTACCACAGGTGGAGACCCTGATTGCTTTCTCCATGGAGCTGAAGCTTCGCAGAACCAGGTGTGGGAAATTTGATGAAGACATTGACAACTGCCCCTTTGAAGAAAACCCAGAGCTGAACAACGTAAGACACACATGACCCTCCTTCAGGTTCCAGAGCTGTGGACCTGCATAGGGGTGTTGTGGGGGGTGGGGCAGAGGACATACCATTCCTAGGGACACAAGAGCGAAGGGGCTACTGGCCCTATGACAGCCACTGCTTCTGCTAAAGATAGAGCCCAGCCTAGCAGGTAAGCCCCAGGGTCCACTTGCAGGCCCCTGGCCAACGTGAGATCCTGACTGTCCACTCAGCCTGTTCAGCTGTCTGAACCTCGGGCCATACTGGTAACAGATTGTTCCTGCCCCTAACGGCCCGGGTGTCTTGATTCTGGCCAGAGGATGTTCTCTTCCCGCTCTGCAGCCACTGCCCTTTCCTGCCTTCAGGAGGAGGAACATGTCAGGGGTGGCCAACATCACCATTGACTGAGTGGCCAGTCCTCAGATCCCCCTGTCACTGAGCAGAACTGATGGGGGTTTGGGTGAGGGGAGCCCACTGCCCTGTGTCCCATGCTCTGCCCCAGGCCCTGCTGGGCCGCAGTTCCTGCCAGGGAGGTAAGGGAAAGTGACTTCCTGCTCTGGGACAAGCCCACCTCAGGTCAGGGCTACTTGAGGTAAGGCCCGCTGGGAAGGAGCATGGGTTGCTGTACTAGAGGCATGGGCCACTCGGGGACAGCCCAGGGGTTCTCCTGGGGAGAGCAGAGTCGCACAAGAGACCCTGGGGTTAGGAGTGAGCCAGGTGAGGAACATCTGAGACAGACTGAGGGCCAGAGCCTGCGTTCCCCCAGCTGCTCACCTTGCAGATGCAAGTTTGGGATGGATGCCGTCTTTAGGGCTTGGAGTCACCAGCTTCCCAAGGCTTCTTCACCCACGATTTATTCCTGTGCTTATTCCCTCAGACCTTCATCTGCTTCTTCACCATCAGCATCGATCCCTGGAGAACAGTGTTTCAACTCCTAAACAAGACCTGCCTGGCGGGGACCTACTGAGTGATATCAGGCCCCAGCCCAGGCTCTCTAGCCCCCTCTCTGTCGGTGGCCCTTCCGTGGCGGAGCAGCTCTGAGCTCACTCTGTTCTCTGCCTTGCAAATATCTGGAGCCTCACACACGGGCATTGTGGAAATTCCTCGGTGCCCATTTTCTTTCATGTAGAATAGTCCATTAAACATCAGCATTTCAAAAGGCGCTGTGTGCACGGTTCCTGACAGGGGGATGGGCAGTTGCTGGGCAGCTCGGTGGCCCAACGGGGTGAGTCATCTCTCCCCTTGCACCTCCTAAGCCAGCTCCAGATGGCACAAATAAGGCGCCTCTGAGTGGCTAGCTCAGGGCTCATGACGGATAACCATGTCCCCAGAGGGGCAATGACCATGACCAAGGTAGGGAACCCTTGTCTGAAGGATGGACAGGGCCTCGGGCTCCCCAGGACACATGTGGCCTCTGTTCTGGGGTCTTGCTCACACACATTTCCTGGTCCGTGACAGCTGGGAAAATGGAGGAGGGGACTCTAGCCTCCACTCAAAGAGCAAGCAAGGCCAGCGGCAGCGGCAACAGCAACGGCAGCTCAAAGACCCTTTTGGAGATGTATGTTCTCAGGGCCTGCACCTGTGGACCAGGAGACTGCATTTTACAAATCCCTAGGGAACCCATGGCCAGTTAAAAACTGAGAGGCACTATTGGGGCTCTGTGCCAGGTGCTATTGGGACTCTGGCCAAAATGCCTAGAACAGGATTTGGCAAACTTTTTCGGTACAGAGGAAAAGAGTCACTCTTGGGCTTTTGTGGGCATGTGGTCTTCTCCACTCTCTAATGTCACCTTGTGTCTGGAAAGCACTAGGGGGCAATGAGAACACAAGCAGGGTGGTCTTTTTCCAATAGGATTTTATGTGTATAGACAGGCAGAAGGTGGGTTTGGTCCAGAACCAGTACCCTGACACGAGGTGCCCCACCCACCCCTGCAGCTGGGAGGCCCAGGAGCAGCACACTAGGAACAGGGTTGGATCGAGAGCTGAGAGCATCTATAGCAATACAACTGCAGGTTATGTGATAATAAGAAAAATAATTCAACATAAAACTCTAATACCTATGAACCTGCACCCAAGCAACATGTAGAGCTGGAACAGCCAACAGAATCATTGGTGCTGTTACAGGTCAAACCGGCAATTCCACAATCATGCTTGAAGCATCTTACACATCTATCAAGGATGATATCACGAAGGATAACCATACCGATGACCTGCCTTCCTCCATCCAACGCAGTTAAAATTGTCACCTGTCCAGGACAGAGGGACAAGGCCCTGGCAGGGTGGGTTGGGAAGGATCAGCGACAGGAGAAGAGGTTCCCTGTAGCTGAATCCCAGCCATGGGACTCCCTCAGGGCCTCCATGGGGAAGGAAGACTTCACTTGAGTGTCCCAGAACCAGAGGCTGAAATGAGGACACAGTGCAAGAGGTAGAAATGGAAGGGGATCCTCAGACACAGTAGCAGAGTGAAGGTCAGCAAGACAAGGAGGAGCAGAACCGAAAAGGGTGTTTCCCAGAGCCAGTTGGTGGGTGATAGGAGGCAACCTGCCCAATGATGAATATGCATTTATTAGGAACTAGAGTCCCAGTGCACGAAATTTGTGCAGGGAAAGGGTCCCTAGCGGCTGCCAGCTGCTGGCTAGGGCCTCCCTTCCCCCGGCTGCCTGCCACCGCTGCTGGTTGGGGGGAGGGGCCATGGGCATTTGGCGGGCCAGCCCCACCCCCTAGTTGAACTCCCGGTCGAACTCCCAGTCAACAGGACAATTTGCATATTAGGCTTTTATTATATAGGATGTACAGAAGGGGCACACTGAGGTGGGTTTTTTTTTGGTTGGGTTTTGTTTTTGTTTTGTTTTTTCTTGGTTTTGTTGTTGTTTTGTAAATTAAAGGCACCAGCAGAGCTGGGGTTTTTAAAAAACATTTTTTTTCATATATTTTGTTGATTTTTTACAGAGAGGAAGGGAGAGGGATAGAGAGTTAGAAACATCGATCAGCTGCCTCCTGCACACTCCCCACTGGGATGTACCCGCAACCAAAGTACATGCCCTTGACCGGAATCGAACCCAGGACCCTTGCGTCCACAGGCCGATGCTCTATCCACTGAGCCAAACAGGTTAGAGCCCACACTGAGGTTTTTATGGGCCCCAGTGTTTCCTTGTCCCACTGGCTCCTCAGACCCCACTGTGGCTTCTGAAACAGACTTGACTCACTGGCTCCCGGGCTGTGGCCTCACTAGGATTGTTGGAGGATGAAGCTGAGCTCAGTGCATCACTCTTTGCGCAACTTCTCAGCTTGTGGATGCGCTTCCATGAGCTAAGCTGCGGGCCTGGCTGGATGAGCAAATGCCCTCTCCCCAGAGGGGTTTACAGGACGTGGCCCCGGCATGCGCTGCACCTATTGGTTTCTTTGTAGGAATTTATTTCTAGAATAGGAGGAGTGAAAGAGAAACAGAGAAGAGTGAACCAAATGAGCTCCAGGGATCCCTGAGCTGTCTACATTAGGTGACCATTGGTGCCCTCTGGTGGCCACAGTTGTCACAGCTCAGCGAGCACAATTTGCTGTGCGCAGTTTCGAGAGAAGGGACACTCAAGGCCCACAGCTGGAATAGCAAATGCAGCTTTTGGACGATTAAATAACACTCGCTTTGCAAACAAGCTTCAGCGCTGTGCCGTGAATCAGGCCTCCAGCATCTGTGTGAAGCTGCTTGTGAACTTCAAAAGGTACCATCACCCCTGAAGGCCTCTGGACACCCGGATCCCTGCGCTCGCCCCTATCCCAGGATTCTGACCCAGTAGGTCTGGGAAGGCCGGAGGGCTTGCTTCTTAACCAGAAACCAGCAGGTGGTGATATTCTTGGCTTCTGGCTCCCACTCTGAGTAGCGCAGTTACAGTGAGTCCCTTGGCTTGGATGCAGCCAATCACAGGGAGAAGCCGCTCAACGGTAGGGCGGGTGCTTGCGTAGGGTTTCTGGGGCCACACTGGATCCAGGAAAGGGTCAAAACTTCATGCCGGGTGATAAAGAAAAAGGGCTTACAGACCCCAGGCATCAGCTTGTGGGTGTGCTTCCATGAGCTAAGCCTGAGGGCCTCGCTGGATGAGTCAATGCTTATGGAAGGAGAGAAGGCTGCTTTGACCCTGAGCGTTCCTCAGAGCTGATGCCCTTCGCCACCAGAGGGAGCTCTTAAATCTGTCCCAGCCATCCCATCCCCAGGTTTCCCATCCTCAGGAGAGAGAGCCTGCTGCCTGCTCTCGGCTATGCTCTCCCCACCAGGCAAGCATACCTGTCTGTCCTCCATGCGCCTTTGTGGTTTTCTTTCCAGACCAGGTTCCAGGTTCACTGTCCGTTGTCTCCCACCAGAAAACAACTCAATCCTGTAGGACAGCAGCAGGTTGGGATGTGCCATTTGCCACGGATGAGCAATTTGATAAATCACACGTGGGAAGCAGCCAGATGTGCAGCAGAACTCCACCAAACAGGTTGCATCGTATGCAAAATTATTGAGCCATAAAAAAGAAGGAAATTTCCCCCAGTATGGATGGACCTGGAGGACGTTATGGTAAATGACATAAGCCAGACACAGGACAAATGCTGCATGATTCCACATTTTTTTATTGTTTAAAGTATTACATGTCTTCTTTTTCCCCCAATTAACCCCCTCCCCCCAACTCCAACACCTGAGGGCAAGCCCCCACCGCCCCAGTGTCTGTGTCCATTAATCATGCTAATATGCATGCGAACAAGTCCTTTGGTTGATCTTTAACCCCCCTCTCCCCTGCCTTCTCCCTGAGGTTGGGCAGTCTGCTCAGTGCCACCTTGTCTCTGGGTCCATTTTTGTTCATCAGATTATGTTGATCATTATATCCCACATATGAGTGAGATCATGTGATATTTATCTTTCTCCAACTGGCTTGTGTTTCCACTTTTTAAATTTTTTTTTAATTTTTTTTTTATTGATTTCAGAGAGGAAGGGAGAGGGAGAATCACTGATCTTCTGCTTCCTGCATGCCCCCTACTGGGAATCAAGCTCATAACCCGGGCATGTGCCTCACCGGGAATTGAACAGTCACCTCCTGGTTCATAGGTTGACACTCAACCACTGAGCCACACCAGCTGGGCTGCATGATTCCACTTTTATGAGAAATCCAAAATAATTAAGCTCACAGAAGAAGAAAGCAGAGTGTGGCTCCCAGGGACGAGGGAAGTGAAATGGAAAGATGTTGGTCAAAGGGCATAAAATTATGCAGGATGAATAATAATTTGGGGAAATCTGCCGTACAACCTGGAACCTACAGCTAAAAATACTGTATTGTGAACTTAAACATGTGCTAGAGGGTAGATAGTGCTCTTACCACAAAAAGAAAAATTAAATTAACTAAAATATGGACGATGGAAGACAACTTTTGCAGGTATAAGTGTATGGTCTTGGTTATGGTGATGATTTCATGGTGTACACTAATTTCTAAACTGAGTTGTAGACATTGGATATCAATCATACTTCAGGATAGTGGTTTAACCAAAGCAAAGAGAAAGAGATAGTATCTTTTCTCAGGAGACTTTAAGTTCAATAAAACTGCCATCAAAACATAAGTAAAATTTAATATGGTTTTTTAGCCTGAGAAGAATTGTGCATGTTTGGGGCTGGAATGGGTGTCAGCAATCTTAGGAGCATCTTCGTGGGTTTGGGGGGAAACAGACTGTGGCGATCTGTGTGAAGTGGAGTCCTAACACATCTGAATAGGATGCAAGTGTCTCGACAGTGTCCAAACAATGAACACAGAGGCCACCCCCACTTTGCCACTGAAGGGGACTGAACAACATGGATCCGTCCTGGAGACATCAATGTGCTCCCTGTCCTAAGAGCCCACGTTTATTCCAAAGGAATGTCCACACCTACCCTTACACGAGGGCTGGTTTAGACCTCGGTGCACTGTGTCTGTCCTCACTTGCAGCCGAGGAGAGGATAGTTAATTTACCATTGACCATAAAGGCAATTAATTGACTATAAAGGCATTGGTGGATTTCTGGGCTCTTTGTTTTATTTCATTGATGTATATGCTTGTTCCTGTTCTAGTACTTTACTTTTTTAAAAAATTACAATGGCTTTATAGTACAGTTTGATATCTGGTATTATGATCCCTCCAACTTTGTT